ATTTTATGTCTATATGTAGTCCAGGCTGGCTCACATTCACTATGTAGTCAAAGATGACTTTGAACTCCTGGTACTATAGACGTGTGTCACCCTGCCAAGCTTGCTCTCTCTGCCTCTGCCTCTGCCTCTGCCTCTGTTTCTCTCTCTCTCTCTCTCTCTCTGTGTGTGTGTGTGTGTGTGTGTGCGTGTGTGTGCGTGTGTGTGTCTGCTTCTCTCCTTTCCTGGGTTCAGATTATCAGGCTGCAGGCTCCTTGGCCTTCTGCGTCTTCTCTCTGGCTCATTTCCAGGTTTTAAAGGCTGTCTCAAAAACTACTTTTTAATCCTGTGTGAGCAAACCAACCCATTTATACACTGTGGTTCAGCCTGGCTATCCCTTTCTGTGTTTCTGTCAACAAAATCCCAGGTATTGTGAGAGGATAGAAAACACAGGACAGAACAGGACAAACAGCCAATAGTTTGTGCCTTTCAACTGTGGTTCCAAATGGCTGCTTTCTCTCTGCATTCCCAGTTAACTAGGTCCAGGGGGCCCTCCCATGGGTAGAATGAACTTGAAACTTCATTCTCATGGTGTTGGGCAGCTGCTTAGTGACTGGGAGGGTGTGTGAGCAGATGTGAGCCCCGGAGACACTGGACAACAGAGCTCTGGATACCCTGAGCTGGTGAGGAGCCAATCCTCGAGTCTTTCCTTTACCTACTGGTACAGAAAGTCAGCCAGAACAGAGGAGCCAGACTCCAGAGAAAGCCCAGAATTTGGTCAGCAATCTGGGTCCCAGTGTGGCTCAAGTGGGGACACTTCTCTCGATTCAGCTTCCCATCAGTCTATCTCTGTCACTTCCTCAGGGAAGCCCCTTTGGATGGTTTCCCATAATGGTAACAACTCTGACTTTTTCCACAATGTATTGCATCTAGAGACTTCTTCATGCTAGGCAAGTTCACACACACACACACACACACACACACACACACACACACACACACAGAACCTTTTTTACTTATCATTTTAAAACAGGATCTCAAACTGGCCTTGAAATCTGTAGGTCAAGCAAGCCTTAAACTTACAATCCTCCTGCCTCAGCCTCCCCAGTAGTGGTGATGACAGACCTGGGTCACCAGATCAGGCTTATGATGTCTGCATGGCACTTAGCAAAATTAATCTATTCAGATATCAACTATGGGGGAATCTTGTCCTGCCAGGAAGAAACTAAACTCAGATGGATAAATTACAGGGGCCAGCTCAGTCCCTGATCCACCCACCCACTTAAGGAATAAAGGAATGAGTTTGTAAAATAAGTGTGAAATGAGAAGCAAGAAGTAACTGCAGACCAGGCATTGAAGTGCACGCTTTTAATCCTAGTGCTAGGGGAGCAGAGACAGGTCTACAGAGTGAGTTCCAGGACAGGCTCCAAAGCTACAGAGAAACCCTGTCTCGAAAAACTAGAATTAATTAATTAATTAATTAAAATAAAATAGAAGAAAAGAAAAGAAAGAAAAAGAAACTCCAAATAATGTGCAGTGGATGGGAAGGTAGCTCAGTGGGTAGAGTCCTTGCCTACTATCCACAAAATCCTGAGTTCAGTTCCCAGCACTGCATAACTGAGGTGAACCAGATGTGAGTGCCCGTAACCCCAGCACTAAGGAGGGAGAAGGGAAGGCCAGAAGTCCAAGGTCATCCTTGGTTATGGACAAGCTAGCTTGGGATTGAAATAATGGTGGTGGTGGTGAGAGTGGCTACAAACCTGACAACCTGAATTCTGGCTCCACATGATAGAAGACGAAAGCAGATCCAAATGGGTTGTCCTCTGTTCTGCACGCGTGCCCTGTGGTTCACGTGGACGCATACACAGACAGATAATACAAGTTAAAGAATTAGCCGGACGGTGGTGACACACCTTAAATTCCAGCACTCAAGAGGCAGAGACACACACAGATCTCTGAGTTTCAGGCCAACCTGGCAAAAAATTTTAAAAACGCAAATATACTCCAAGGCTAGAAAGAGGGCTCAGGGGTTAAGAGTTCACACTGCTCTTCCATGGGATGTGAGTTCACTTCCCAGCATCCACATCAGCTGCCTTATAACACAACCGCCTATAACTTCAGTTCCAGGGAATCCAAGGTTCTCTTCTTGCTTCCTGGAGGTACTTGCCCTCTCAGGCAAATTCCCACGGACGCTTATGCAAAAATATATTTATATTTTATATTCAAGTAGATATAAATATAATTAAAATATATTTTAAAACCTCTATACAAGACCCATAGGAGATGGGGGTGGGAAAGCTACCTCAAGGTCAGTTTTGAGACTCTCTGAGATGGAGAACCCCACCCTCTGCCTGACCCACTTGACCACTCTGGCGCCTGAGACCTTGGGAGGCAGAAGGCCTACCTACCTTTTTACTTTGAACTTGCCTAGGGTTCAGTACACACCAAGTGCACACCAGTGCCTTCTCAGAAGGCAGTTGGCTCTGAAGGATACCTGAGATTCACCTACAGAAGGTGGGGTAGATGGTGCAGGTTTGCCCCAGTGAGGAGCACCTGTCCCTAGAGCACAGGTTCCCAGCTTGTAGTGCACGGTCCCCCTCCAGACCTGGCCTCTCTGGAGGTGCTTTCAGTCTGCTTTACCTCATCATACACACACACACACACACACACACACACACACACACACACACACACTGGGCTGGGCTCTCCTCCCTGGGTACAGCCACTTCTGCTCTCGGCATGTGGCCAGGCCTCATTTGCATCGCAACCCAGATGGCTCACCGCAGCTTGGATTCCCAGAACTGCCCAGCTGCCCTGCTGTCTGTTCCCCTGCCCAGTGCCAGCCTGGTCTTTGTGGGTGCTTCTGAGCAAATGACACTTCCCACCCCATCCCTGGACAGAGCAGGGTGTGTTGGTTTGGAGGGTGGGATGGCGGGGTAAATGCCTGGAAGCTGACTCCCCTCATCCTCTGCCCCGACTCCCACCGTACGAACTCCTTTGTGATGGGCAGGAAAACACTCCCCTTCTCAGCACCCCATTCCTTTCTGTCTGCACCCTCCTCCAGCACCCACCCCACACGTATCCATTACCCACCCCGAAGCTCTCTGTGGGCGGAGGAATGGCCGCCAGGGCAGGGGTCCTGGCACTCCCGCCAACCCTGTCCCTGGAGGACACCAGGAATCTGAGAAGTGAGGATCCAGTGAGTGTGTGGTGGGTGGGAGAAGTGTTTTCTTTTTCTTTCCCTCCTCGGAGTTTTCTGGGAAATGCCAGAGGCAGGCTGGGCCTGGAATGGCAAGCTTGAAAGAACTCTTTAGCTGCCGCCCCTTAGACATCCGACCCGCAAACCTTTTCTTTAGCTTAAGGCCCCTCCTGCCTGCAACAAAGGCCTGCCAACTGGAATGCTGCTTCCCAGCCACGGGCCATTGTCCTAGACTCCCTCCACCCCTTCAGATTGTTAGCAACCGGAAAGGAAGAAACCGGGGTCAACTTGATACGTGACCCCTGAGTCCTTCTCCTTGCAGAAGAGAGGTTATCTGTGACAGGCTTCCCCCTGCTCCTCAAGCAGTCCTGGAGGGCAGAGAGTGAACCTGGGCTGCAGCTGAGAGGTGTGCCCATGGCAGGTCTGGGCTCTGGGGAGCCTCACTTTTTCTTCAGGGGGCAGAGGAGAAGCAGGTTCCCTGCATCTCTTTCCAGGATGACCCAGAGAAAGGGGAGTAGAAGAAAAGCAGGCTCCTGCCACATACTAGACTAAGGCATCTTAGTGTCAAGTTGGGAGCGTAGGCCCCAGTCCCTTGCATCTACCCCAGCCCCCAGGCCTGGGTCTGGACTCCAGATCCTAGCTGGCCAAGTCCTGACCCCTCCCTGGGTATTTAAGTGACCCCCAAAAGAAGAACATGTGGTCTCCCTTTCTCCCTCCTGGGAGTCACGTTTCTACAGCTTCCCGGTCTCCCCCCCCCCCCCCCCCCCGTCGGGGCCTCCCGAGAGCACAGATCTCCCATTAAACCTGGATATTTCTTAATTTGGCTTGTTTTGGTTTGGCTTGATTGAGAATTTTTTTGCGTCGGCAGGGAGCTAATATTAAGAAATATTCCTAACACTTGGTTCCTGGTTTGTCGTCCCAGGTCTAGGTGATTAGCTTGCAAGGATGAACAAATGTAAATAACTTCCAAGTCCAAGGGATGAGCAAGGCTTCCCAACCCTGTGGCTGCATCTCCAGTCACCAAGGATGGCTATCTTAGCATCTGTGCCCAGGGTAAGCATGACACCTGGGGCCACTAAGGCGCAGAAGTGCTTCCTCCCTGCCTAGGCGCCTCCCCATCTGGACTCAGAGGATGATCTCAGCAGAGGTCGTTTGCCACGGGCTGGCAGCTGAAACCTCAGGGCTCTTCCTCTCCAGGGCAAACACGTATCTTTATTATCTTTATGACCCTGCACCTTTGCCTGGAAATGGGATTCTGAATGCATTCAAGTTCTGCAACAGGAAAGATTAGAAGAAGGTGGCGGCCTCCTGATCCCTCGGGTGGGTGGGGGGAGCTAGGTGGAGCTGAGGGGTCAGACTAGATAACTGGTTCATTTCCCCCTTCAGCTACACAGCCAGATAAGCGAGGGTGCAGGCAGGGATTAAGTTTTGTCCTTGGTCTACTGCCGGCAGTTCAAGTCCTTGTCTCAGAGTGGGTCCCTGGAAACGTGCCCTGCATTAACCAAGTGTCTCCTCCCACTTTTCCAGGCTGTTTATCTTCAGATTAGAAGTCTAATAATCGCCAGTAAACCAGCCATGGGGCTTCCCAGAACCCACACCATCCAACCCAAAAACCAACAGTTCCGAAAGAATGCTAGTTGTGGCGTCTAAGGCTCATAGAAAACAGAAATCCACACAAGCTGGTTCTTAGACTCATTGAGGACTTTGTATGCGCCGGGCTCAGTGATTAAGAGTCATTACTGCTCACAACCCAAGATCCAAGGGGCCAGATGCCTCTGACCCACAGGTAGGCACACATATATACACATAAGTTTTTCCTTCCTTAAAAAATATGGAATGCTTCACAAATTTTTGAGTGCCATCCTTGCACAGGAGGCTAATCTTATCCATATCATTCCAGTGTTTTTAGTGTATGTCCTGCCGAAGCGAGTACATATACACATAATTTAAAACAATAGTAAACATTTCATGCTGGATATTGTTGTCACAGACCTTTAATTCCAGCATTCGGGAGGGAGAGCAGGAAGATCTGTGAGTTCAAGGCCAGCCTGATCTACAGAGTGAATTCCAGGACAGCCAGGATTACACAGAGAAACCCTCTCAAAAAACAAACAAAAACAAACAAACAAGCAAAAAGCAACAACAAAATTCAAAATACACACAAAAGAGAAAAATAAATGCGCCATTTTCCCATCAGATTCTGAACAAGCCATCAGAGCGTTTTTGATGAGTGAAGTAGTTTCAATGCCTAATTATAAAGAGAAAGTACAAGTCAGCCAACCTGGGAAAGGTAGCTCCCACCCCAGGTAGGCTGAGTCAGCTGTCGAGCCGCAGGAGGCCCTACGGAGCACACAGTGGAGGACTCTGAAGGACCACAGTGACTGGGCAGGGCTAACCAGGCCCGGGATTCCACTGAGGAGGTTCCTGTACTTATTTGGTTCTTTCTTGGTTTGTTTGTTTGTTTCCAGTCCTGGTGATTTGCTACTCTTAAAGACTTACTTTTGACTGGCCTCAGACTTTGAAGCAGAATCTCCCAGTGAGGACAGCCTATGTCTGGCTGTCTCTTAGCAATCTGTTCCTTGTGTTTTTCTTTGGCTTCCTTCATTCTCTTGGTCAAAAGTTTTGCAGGGCCTGCAGCCTCCTGCTTGTTCTTCTTGGCGCATTGTTTCTTCGGAGCATTATGTTGGTGTTTTAGCAGCAGGACACGTGGAGCAACAAGACACTGAACCTTGGATGATTTGGTCCTGTTTAAGGACTCTCTAGCAATATATTGTCAGACATCACCCTCTTTAGAGAGAGAATCGAGTGAGTCCACAATGCATCCTGAATGCACCCGCACCCACGCTTCTTCTCTCAAGTTCTACTTGGTCTTGGCCCAGAACGTCCCGACTCAACAGCAGGCCCTTCTATCCTGGGTCAAGACATCTACCTCAGAGGAAAACCTTGCTTGATGTTCCCACCGCTGATTCGGACCACACAACTCTCCCCTCTTCATCCACAGCATCAGCAGCTACCGCATCTGTGGCCATGTCCTTCTCATGGGAGGTACAAAGCTTTTGTTCCTTATCCCCCCAGTGATACCACGTTCTGACTGTTGGTAGCTGGGGAGGAGATGTTTGGCTTCATCTTGACACAGGGTTGTAAATTTTTATTTGTTCCTGTTTTTCATTTTGCATGTCTTTGTTTTATGAGTGTGGGTATTTTGCCTGAGTGCATTTATAAGTATCTCATGCACACCTGGTAGTCGTCCAGGCCAAAAGAGTCTATCAGATATCAGATCTCCATTGGAGTTTGAGTTAGCTAGTTGTGATGAGGTTGCTGGGAATTGAACCTGGATCCTCCACAAGAGTAATCAGTGCTCTTAACCACTGAGCCATCCTTCCAGCCCCTTAGGATGTGTTTTTGTTGTTGTTGTTTTGTTTGAGACAGGGTCTCGCATAGCCTAGGCTGGCCTCAAACTCACCGAGTAGTTTAGGATGACCTTGAATTTCTGGTCCTTCTGCCTTTTGGTTGCAGGGATTACACAGCCACCAGTCGGAGTTCCATCCACCGCTCCTTAGACCCTGGAGGCTGCCCTTGTAGAGATCAGCCAGGCCTTAGACCCTATTTAATAAGTACCCTAAGCTTCTAAAGCCCAAGCAGGTAGCATTCCGAAGGTAGGGTGGGTGATACGATTAGCTCCTAAATTATGATCTGAGGCCCTGTCTAGGATTTTCACTAGGCTGCTAAACTCGGAGCCCCTTCCCGTCTAAGCTCAGAGCCGATTATCCTCAGAGCCTATAAATGTAAGGCATTTCCTTTGTTCGGGGTTCTTGCTGCTGGATCTTATTTCAGCTTCTCCCAGTGCAAGCTGCCAATGTTATTAAAAGGCCTGGCTGCCTAAAATCCATCTCAAGGCATCTCTACTGCATCTGGAAAGAGACCTCAATATTTAAAACAATTGAACCAGGCTGTGGTGGCACACGCCATTAATCCCAGCACTCCGAGAGGCTAGGGCAAGAGCTTCTCTGAGTTTTAAGCTAGCCTTGTCTACAAAATGAGTCCCAGGACAGCTAGGACCACACAGAGACATCTTGCTTGGGGAGTGGGAGGCGGGAGGCGGGGGATGGAACCAAGGGCTTCCTGCATGCTGGGTAAGCCTTAAATAGTGGCCTCAACCATTCGTCCCAGGGACTGAGACTTAATAGTAAGCACTTTATCAGCTGAGCCACGTCTGAAGCCTCAAAGGTTGTGTTCTAAGCACCTTAGACCTCACAGGAACTCAGGGGGAGGGGGGAGGAAAGGGATGCAGAGCCAGCGATGACACACGGCTATTGTGTCACACAGCTACTGTGCAATGGAGTCAAGGAACAGCCTAGGCTCCTAGGCCATAGGTGGCATTCATCTTACCCACCCACCTGCCGCTCTGGCTGTCTCTAGCCACAGGATCCACGCTCGGAGAGCAGAGACATGCCTGCTGGTCCCATCTTCCCACCTCCCCTCTTGCTTTCTACTCTGAGTAGAGTTCCCCGCTGGTCTCCTGAGCAGCATCGCCTGTCAGGACTCGTTCAGAAAAGTGAGTCCCTACAAATGGGACAGGACTCCAAAGCTCCAGCACCATCTCCCACCCTTCCCCCTCTCTCAGATTCATTTATCTATTTGATCTAGTCAGGGTCTGTGTTGCTTTGGCTGGCCTAGAACTCTATGTCCGACAGGCTGCCCCTTGAACTCATAGAGATCCGCTTGCTTCTGCTTCCAGAGTCTGGGATTGAAGGCTTGTACTCTCACTACCATGCAAGGCCCAAGATTTGTTTGATTTTAGTTATGTATATGTGGGGGAGGTGGCATGTGACTTGAGTGCAGGCTCCTGTGAAGGTCAAGCCATGGTGATCCATCCTACACACACACATGCTGGGAACTAATCCGGTTTTCTGGAAGTGTAGCATGTGCTCTTAGGCCGTTTCTCTGGCCTCCTTAATTCCCTCTCACTCCACCTCAGGAACCACCAGTGTCTCATTGGTTCAGACACAAAATGAGGGTTTGTGGAACAGTTGAATGAACCTGTCATGTGTCAGGCGTTGTCATTTACAAAGCATTTTCCCATCCATTAACTCCATGGCTATTTCCTAAGAATCCTCCCTGTCCTCTACCGCCCTCAGCACAGAAGGCAGCTGCTGGGCAACACTCCCTGGAGGAGGTGAAGCAGGGTTTGTTCACAGGGAAAGGGAGAATCAATTTCAGAAGTGGCAAGTGTCTTGAAGACAAGGACCGGGTCTCACAAGATACCTCCACATGTGAGCAAGGTCTGGTCCGTCAGCACACGTCTGTGAGATATTTTAAATGAGGCCCCCTAAGCCTCTTGAATACTGGGATTTCTGGGGTGGGTGCATCACTATACCCATTCCTATTTAACAGAAGACAAGTCTGAGCCCCGAGAGGCTGTGCATCTGCCTGAGTCGATATCAGTCCCCCATCATCAGGGAGCATACTGGACACAGCGGGCCGAGATAATGAGGCGCCTACCAGTTCCACAGGAAGGGAAGCCGGCAGTCCTCTCCTCAAGTCCAAGATCCTGTGTGTGTAGCGTGTAGCCAGCACGCTCTCCCCCCCCCCCCCCTTTAGGGTAAGACTAGTCTTACACGAAGCCTGTGGCATCTAAGAGGGCGGGGCAGAACCACTGAGAGCAGCCTCTCTGCTCACTTAGCTTAGTTCTCAGGCAGCTCCAGCGCCCCGCTGCCTGTTGCAAAACTTGCCGCGAGGCCTTTATAGGTATTCACGTGACCAGGAGCAAGTCAACCTTTCCCCTCAATCACCTGCTCTTATTAATACTCCTCTTCCCCCCCACCCTGAAAAGTTCAGATACCCTAACTCTTAGGAGCAAGGGAAGTTCTATCCTAACACCTTAGTAGCCACTTGGCAGTGGGCTGAATCCGTAACAACTGGTCTGTGTTACAGTGGGCTAAATCCGTAACTACTTTCTGCCTATTCGACATTTGTTCCAGGTTTGAACCTGGCCTGGAAGGTGAACCGCCTCTCTTTCAGATTGCCCACTTCTCTTCTTGAATAAGGAGTCCCACAACCTCTCTTTTCTCTGGGGCCTGGGAAACAGCAAAACTCTGCTCGCCTACTAGACTCTAGTGCGCCCTCTAGCGGACTCGGGCGCGAGCGACCTGGGGGTCATGGTTTCCTCCCTCGCGGCGCCGAAAGCACCTGGGCCGATCCAGCTCACCAGGCAGGTTGGGAGACCCAGATGAGTGATAGGGTGGTAGGTAGTTAACGGCTTTCTCCACCTACTGGGTATCAGCACCCACGTCTGTCACCAAAGAACCAGGCAGAGAGCCGGTGAGCCGAGGCCCCGTAGCTGCTTCAAAGCCGGTGTCTCCTCCACTGCTGGATCTCCCAGCTTCATCTTTTCGACCTGTCCACAGGTCACTGTCGCGCATCCCTCCCCACCCCCCTTCACTTCCTAGGTCTCCAGTGAGTTGGCTGAGGAATGGCCCAATATCCCTTTTGGCTGACACGGGCTGCTTGGAACTGTAAATGAGGACCTCGGGGTAGCCTGGGTGGGAGCGAGGGGAGCGTCCCCACCCAGGGTCCAAGAAAAAGGGAAGGGGTGCCGGGGAGCCTTTCTGGGCCGGCCTCCTAGAACTGCCGGCGCGTTCCCATCGCGGAGCCCCCGCCTCTGCCAGAAACCAGCCTTCTTAGAAGGGAGGGGGTGGGGAGGAAAGTGTGAATG